TTTCTAGCATAACATACAAAAATATATAATTATAGATTTTTTTTTGTTAATAATTTGTTTTCATAGTTAATAATTTATTTGTATTTATATACATATATATATATATATATATATAGTAATAATAATAATAATTTTTTGATATTTTTACAGTTTGTTAAAATATTTGATAATTTTTGTTAAGCTCCTGAAAGCATACTTTTTTGCAATACATTGAAAATTATTATATTTATTGTTAATATTAATTTAGTTTTTTTTAAAAAGGATTAGTATAATAATTTAGATAAATAGATAACTTTATTAAAAATTATTTTTTCTTTTATCAATTAATTATTTTACTAAAAAAATTTTTTTTAGATAAATAAAAATTAGTTAATAAGATAGTTAATAGTTAAATAACAAATTTATAGTAATTATTTATTTTTAGCAAATTTTTACGTAAACTAACATCAATTAAAAAACGACAAAACATTGTGTAAATATATATATACAAAAATAGTTTTACCAGTGATTATTTAACATCATATAATAATAATAATTAGTATTTTTATTATTATTATTATTTTTATTGCAACTGTTATTGTATATAACAATTGCATTACCGGTACCCAAAAAACATCGCACAGTTATGTATTAGAGAAACTGTAGATATTTGGTGCCATTGTGTTTAAAAAACAAACATTTTATACAACTATGTGTATGTGTGTGTGTGTGTGTGTGTGTGTCTATGTGTCTATGTGTGTGTGTCTATGTGTGTGTGTCTATGTGTGTGTGTATATATGTGTGTGTATCTATTTATGTATGTATGTATGTGTGTGTGTGTGTGTGTGTGTGTGTGTGTGTGTGTGTGTGTGTGTGTGTGTGTGTGTGTGTGTGTGTGTGTGTGTGTTCAGCTATGTGTACAACCTATATGTGCGTGTGTTTGATGTGTTGTCAAAGTTTTATCAGTGTTTTTGTGTTGTAATATTTGTTTTCATTGTAAAACTATATACAGAATATATATATAGAAATTTTTTGTTTGTATTTTATATATATATGTTTTTTAAATTAAATCACGTTTTCATTGTACAGATTTGTGACATATTATTGTGTTATATTTTATACTTATATATATATATATTATATACTTTTAGATAAAAATATATATATATATATATAACTTAATGGCAAAAAATAAAAATATATAACAACAGTAGTATTTCTAACAAATAATAATAATAATAAAAATAAAAACTTTTTTTTTTGTTGCCGACAATAACTTGTATACAATTGTTGTTTACAACAATTGTAATTAAATTATTATTATATATATATAAAAAATTTCATTGTTATTATTATTTGTTAGTTTGTATTTTTTTTATATTATTTAATTAGCATTTTATTATACCAGTAGTTACTGTACTATTATATTATGTTATCTTTTTCATAAGTTATATAATATTATAAATTAGTCAAATTATTAAATAAAAACAAATTTAATTAAATTTATTTATTTTTATCTCTATATGTATAGTATAGGAAAATTTAATTAACATTAATTGAAACAAAAAATATAATAATAATATTATTATTATTATCTCATTATTATTTTCAAACTGTTATCTATTTATAGTTTTATATATAATTTATTTTTTTAATAAATAATTTAATAATCTTTACAAATTATTACTACCAAAAAAAATGTCTATACATTTAGTAGTAATTATTATTTATTTTTTTTATTTAACTAATTTAATTATATGTTAAATTTAATAAAAATAATTTATTTTAGTTTTGAAATATATATATATTTGTTTAAATAAAAGTTTTTAATCTTAATTAAATTTTTTAGTGCAAAAAAATTTGTGTGAAAATAAAATTAATTTATCAAATATACATTAAATCTCTCTCTCTCTCTCTCTGTATATATATCTCATTCAATCACACACTCACTCACTTTAACACGTTATTTATCACTCACTCACTCACTCACCCACACGTAGCTATCATTTATTATCACATAAATTACTATCATTAATAAAAAAAAACTACAACTACTACTACTACTATATTTTATATAATGATTTAATATTTTTTATATAAATTAAAACAACTATATATTTTTCTAACATTTTCATACTAATAAAAATTTATTATTTGTGTTTTTAAAAAAATATTTGTATATATTATATATATATATATATTTCACACCTATTTAATCTCCATAATATAATTTATTATATTAATAGTATAAATATATTTATATATAAATAAAAAAAGCAATAAATTTAATTTGATTTTTTTTGATACAATGTTTTTTTTAGATAATAATTTTATAATTAATAAAAAAAATAAATAAATAAAAATAAATTGCTAACTAAAATAAAACATAATTATATATTTAAAAAAACAACAATTTATATTATTAATTAATTTCTATTATGTATTAATACATAACAAACAAACAAATAATTACTAATTAATTAATTATTAATATTATTATTATTATTATTATATTTTATAG